CACTCGCTCGGTTTTGCCATCTGATATTCACAATCGGCCAGAAAATTTGAAAATGTGAAGTAAATAATGGTTCTTAACTGTTGCAAAACGATAATCCCATGCTTCATAAACCGTACTTTTTTTTGCTACTTTATCTTCTCGCTCTTTTTCAAACAGGTTTTTGAAAACTTTACACCGGTAGTCACAAGCTTTTCGAGATGAAAATTTTGATTTTTATCAGTAAGCGCGAGCCTATTTGTAAAAGATGAAATGATCAAAACTTGTAGAGAGGAATTAGTTATAGCTTAACTAATAAACTGACTCTGAGAAGTGTGACTAACAGATTATTAACAAATAGGGCTTATTTATACATGTTTTTCCATTCCCATAAAATTCACTTTTGCATGAACATGTGTAGGAGCCATAACTGTTCTGGCAGTTTGCATTGACGTCACAGGGCCTGATGGAAGCACTGCACTCGTCAATATCTGAAGGAAAAACGAAATTAGCTTGGGAGTTAATTAACGGGAGAATTTGGAAATATACAACGAGGACAAGAGAGCGGTAAACAGCTAAGCTTTGAGTCATTCTCCGGTAATGAAAGAGAATTACACCGTCACTTAAGTTTGAAGCAGTCTTGTTAATGTACACTAAATTGTATCTCACCCGTTTCACAATGTTCCCCGGTGTATCCTTTCGCGCAAACGCACACGTAACTGTTCTTCTCGTACTGTGCCGCACATTTCCCATTGTTCTGACAAGGCCATTTGAAACATGGAGACTAAAGAAAACATATAACAATAAGAAAGAAACGAGAAAGATGTGGCACTAATCATTTTATAGATCATCATGGACCGTGTTTACGGATAGAGTCAGTATCTTTCAATAAACCTTCCTCGCTAATACCCAAATTTCTTTTTAAGTCTTCTGCTCAAATAACCCCTCTCCCTATTTCTGCGATTAAACACACTGCCCTCCTTAAACTAAGGAGAAACTTCAAAAGAAAAACACATGGCCAATGTTGTCAGATTGGACCAGTTAGTCTTTAGGCGTATTATTAAAAAGGTAAAAAATAAAAACGTCCATGAGCATTTGTCTACGATTCCTCTCCTTTTCCTTTCACAAAAACAGATTGAAAAAAATTTTTCATTTCCAACTTACTGCGATACTAAAGTGATGGTGACTCTGAATAGGGACAAGCTTGTCTGAGTTGTTGTACAAATCCGATGGAAGTAATTCACACAGAACTTTGCCATTGATATCTTGAAATTCAGCCAGGTTAAACGAAAAACACGACGGAATGTTGACGCAAGCAAATCCACACTCACTGCCCTTTCCAACATAATGCGAGCCAATAGCAGTGATGTTGAGGTAGGAAAACTTGTGAACCTTAAATTTGGCATAAGCCATTCCTTTAACTGTACCTCGGCTGAGAGGTTTACCTCGCACATCGACGACTTTTGTTTCTAGAAATGAAGAGAGGAATAATAAATGATAAATTAAAAGTATTCTGCTCATGAACGATATGTAATCAGGAGTCACTCTAAAACGCTTTATGTACCACGAGAAGCATGCGGTAGAAAAACTTTTTTCACCAGTCAATGGAAATAGTTCTATTACGATTTCATTGTAATAACTATTACAAAGGTCGTCGGAATCCAAGACTTTAAGAAGGCGAAGTCACTACAGCTTTCACGACTTACAAGTGAAGTGAATCTCAAAGTACATGGTACTTAACGCACATGATTGGCTAACTCGAGTCACGTGATATAAGGCGATTGCGTGACATAATAACAAGCTGGAAATCTGAGTTGGTACTAGCACCCTTCTACATCAAATTATTGGACGTCTTTTCTACATTTTCGACTTTGTCTTTGCTCTGCGGATACTCCAATGAACTGGTCACGTATTCAAACTCGTACATTGCGGCAGAAGCTGAAAATTCATTCGAATTAAAAGGCGATCCATTGTCACTGTGGAATGTATCAGGAATTCCATGGGTGGCGAAACGTTTCTGCAGCTTTCCAATCACTGCAACTCCCGTCTTTGCCTTGTGTAGCTCGTCGATCTCGAAATAACCCTAGTAATAGTCAACTGTACACAAATAGTAGCAGTTATTAGATGTGAATATGTCGGAGTCGACTTTTTCCCAGGGGCGTTGTGTGACTCCATGGCAAATTAGAGGCTTTTTCTGTTGAACAGGCTTGAGGGTGTTGTTAGTTTCACACTCTGAGATAAATTCTTCCAGTTCTCTGTTCATGTTAGGCCAATAGACAATTCACGTGTCCCTCTCAAACAACCTTGAATACCGATATGGGATCGGTGGAGCTTCTCTCTAATCTTGGGTCTCAGACTTATCGGGATGACGCCTTTTAGACCTTTGAAAAAAACACATTCTTGAGCAGCCAACTCATCTCTCACGATGAAATATTGGCGCAGCTCAATAGGTAGTCTTTCTCTTTGGTTGGTCCATCCATTCAGAATCACTTCTTTCAGAGACTGTAGGACAGGATCTTTGGCAGTTTCTTCACGGATTTCACGGAGTGGATTCTTTCTACTTCTTGATCTGCCTTTCATGGAAAGTGTTCCAGAAGTAGGTAGGCTCTGGAAAGAGTATCGGAAAGATACAACTCTGGGCCACGCTTGTACTTTATTTCCACATCATACTGCAGTAGCCTCGACATAAGACATTGTAGCCGTTTTGGAGCTGCAGCAAGAGGTTTCTTAGCAATCATCCCCAAAGGCTTGTGGTCTGTCCACAAAGTAACCTCCTGCCATAAACGTACCGATGATTTTTCTCTACGCCAAATACTTGAGCTCTGCTAGCATAGGTTATAGGCTGACATTGTTGCATGAGCGCGAAGCCGATTCCTTTCTCCTACGTGTCTCCTTCTCCTTCAGTAGGTGCACTTGGAGTGATAAACTTCAAGGCTGGAGCTGTAGACACAGCCTTTTTGATCTTCACGGAGGTTTCTTCTTGCTCTTGAGAGCCCTCCCAAGGAACATCTTTATGTGTAAGTCTTCGAAAGGGCTCAGACTTATCAGACAGGTCTTCTAGAAACCTTGAGAGGTACTTGACTGTGTTCACAAAGCGCTGTACGGCTTGAACATCTTCAGGTTTTGGCATGCTGCAGATAGCTTCTACCGTTTTCGGATTAGGTTTCAATCCTTCGCTGGTTAACAAGTAACCGATAAATGGAACTTCGGGGCATTTTAACTCAAACTTCTCTCTATTGAGCTTAAACATCAATTGATTCGTGAGGCTCTTGTTTTCGGTTGTTGAACCTGTAGCGTTTATAGATGACATTCGTCTGGCCAATACAATGGGAGTTCTATAGATCTAAAACAACTTTTATGTCCTATTTCTCATCTTCGGTACGAAACGGCAAACCAATGTGTACTTCGAGCGCGTCGGCGCCAATGTATGTGATGAAAGTCGCTACGCGAAATCCGCTTTCTTTCTCGTTTAACTTCGTGACGGTTTCGTAAGCGTCCATACTTGCTTCCATTTTTCCAGTTGTCAGAGCTTGAGCTTGAGCTTGGTTACTTTCGACGTAAAAGTCGGTAAAGGAAACATGTTGTGTTGAACCAGTGGTCGAGCCAAAGGTGTTCGAATTTGCCGGCGTTGTCGGAATTTCTCGATTTACACGTTTTGCGCGTCACTCTTAAAGGTTCGAGGACGAGGATAATTTAGAATAAGTCTCCTGACACCATATTACGATTCCATCGTAATGACTCGCACAAAGGCAGTCGGAATCCAAGACTTTACCAAGGTGAAGTCATCACAGCTTCCGCAACTTAAAGCACATGGTAGTTAACGCGCATGATTGGCTAACACAAGTCACGTAATTAAGGCGATTGCGTAGCATATTAATGTTACAAGTTCCTTGAAGGTTCAAGGAGTCCAAACCGCATTTCGAAGTCGAAGTTATATGCTATCTTCGCCAGGCCACCGAAATCTGATCAGTTCCCTCGCATTTGAATTAAGCAATTGTAGAACAAATTGAAAGGAACTTGTCAAAGTGTAAAACGATATGGTAAAATTCTAAGTGCAAATTATAATTTGTTCGGAACAGATCATATATCGATTAAAAACCTGTCGTAGATTTGTGTATACCAGGACGAAAATTTGTCTGTATCATTTCTGTGCCGCTTTCGCTAAGAGCGGTCGTCTCGACTTCCCGTCCAAAAACAGTTTTATTTTATTTTCTTTGCCCATGAAAAGGGTTTAGGACACATGTTTCAAAAATAGTTCAGTTGTGCTCCAATTCTCTTTTTTGATTTTTGAAAATGATTTTTGGCCAGACCACCCGTGTGGACAGCGATCGAAAGTATAAATTTCACACATTTTGTCCAGCGCGCAGCGACTGTGATAATATTGGTCACGGAATTATATCCTGCTACAAGATGTATTCAGTTAGTTCACAGACAAAATATGGAAACTTCAGCCGAAATATTTTTCACACAAGCGCGATAAGAGGAGACCCTTCCCCTCGACCTTAATTTGCATATCAAAATTAAACATAAAATTTTATTCTTTAATTTTGATCTTCTCCTCACTGTACGTAGTACATGACCGGGTGTTTCAACGAAAATCATTGATAAGGCGTCTTCGATCATCTTTCTTTACTTTGTAAGTCGTGCTAGCGCGCAAGCGTCACGACCGATTACGTTTACGCAACGTTCTAGGAAAACTCGGCATCTATTCTCCATTTAGTTGTTCTGAAAACATAGAGTCCTCAAAATAGAAGATAAAGAAAACGA